GATCCTCCTGCCTCAGCCTTCCGAGTGGCTGGGACTACAGGCATGCGCCACCATGCCCGGCTAATTTTTTCTATATATATTAGTTGGCCAATTAATTTCTTTCTATTCATAGTAGAGACGAGGTCTCGCTCTTGCTCAGGCTGGTTTCGAACTCCTGACCTCGAGCAATCCGCCCACCTCGGCCTCCCAGAGTGCTAGGATTACAGGCGTGAGCCACCACGCCGGGCCCGCAACCAATTTTTACTTATAAAAATGGCATAAGTGATCTTTAATATGCTTTTATATAAACACATTCAAAGTACAGTTTACTTTGGTTGTCTTTACTCAACAAGTACCATAAGCCTTGTATTTGTTCTCATTTGTATCATCCTAGACGATGACTCAATGTTAACTTTTTGCTTTGTCTTTTGGATGGCCTAACCTATAGTAACATGTATGGAGAATATTTTAAAACCTTTTTTCAAAAATTATAATGAATTACTTTATTAATAAATAAAGTCTTGTATTTGAAAAAAACGGCAGTTTTATATGGCTTGAGATGACGTTTCTGTTAGTGACTCAAAATTTAGAAATAATATTTTAAAAAATTCCATGAAGATGACAAATGTGGTTTTAATTTTCTACTTATTTCTATACATAGGATGTACTGTGCTTTAAAAGTCTGATTTTAAAATACTTGTATTAGTTTCCTATCGCTGCCGTAGCAACTCACAACAAGTTCATGGCTTAAAACAACACAGATTTATTACCTTGCAGTTCTGGAAGTCAGAAGTCTAAACTCAGTGTCACTGGGCTACATTTAAGGTGTTGGCAGGGCTGGTTCCTTCTGGAGGCTTCAGCAGAGGCTCCATCCATTTCCTTGCATTTTTTTCTGCTTCTAGAACCCACCTGCATTCCTGGGCTCATGGCCTCTTCCTCACATCTTCTCTCCAACTTCTGCTTTCATCTCCTACTACTGACTCTGATCCTCCTGCCCCTTCTCTGGAGGACTTTTGTGATTACATCAGGCTTGCCTGGATAATCCAGTGTGATCTGCGTGTCTCGAGATCCTTAACCACATCCACAAAGTCCCTTTTGCCATGTAAGGTCACATACCCACAGGTTCTGGGGATTACGACCTATACGTCTCTGGGGGCCATTATTCAGCCTACCATAGCTACCACCTCTTTTTTGTTCATTTTGTATTTTAGAAGCTCAGCTAATTCTCTACTAAATTTTTCTACCTATGTTTCTATTGTGAAGGAGATTAGAAAATTTTCAAAATGAAATTTTGCCTTCTAGTATATTCTGGCATTGAGTAGGTCTTAGTGGGTAGGCAGGAGCTACAAAGAGAAACTTCTCCTAGGAGAGGCTAAATTTAAATTCTATAACTGAGCTCTTTATCGCCACCCTTTTTAAGATTAATAATTAGCCCCTGCTCTCAAACTCTGGCTGTTTGGCCCACCATAGGGGAGGTCCCATGGAGGTACATGCTTGCTCTCATTTTTGCACTTAGACGTTTGCAATCACCAATTACATGATTAAAAAGTGGCATAATGGGGGAGGGGAAGCATATAAGGCAATTTTAGCACACTATTAAAAGGAATAAAGGAAAAATGCAAAATGCAACATATGATTACAATGGAAGAGCAAATTAAAAATTAAAGCAATGCCACACAGTTTTCTAAGTCCATTTTTTTCTTTTGCAAAAAAGTAACTGGAACAAAAGTTCTGCCATCCTTAATCCTCATCAATTTAAATTTTGCCATGAGTTTGCTTTGCTATTTAATTTACTTTAGTATGAAGATCAGTTTCTATATTCTTAATATGACTGGCAAATTTTTAAATATCACTCCAAGACACTCCCCACTCCTACCTGATCATATTTTGGGTCATAAGAGATAAGGTAAGAGGATACGTGACTTCAAATTAAGCTATATTCTGCAGCATGGGTCTGGATGGTTTTTTCTTTTTTTCTTTTCAGCAGATGCGATGATGTTTTTATCATTCACCTCTTATGGCAAAACACAGAATGAGCTGGCAAAGGGCATAAGTGGAAGGCCTTCTCCGAGGTATTAGAAGAGTCTGAGGCGAATGTTCCCATCCCTTCCACAGGGGCTGCGTGGGCATTTTCTGTGGCCGGCGTCTGAGGCAGGGGGACTTCCTGCGCTGAGGAGCAACCAGTTGTACAACACGGACAGGACCATACAGCACTCTGTGGCATCTCAGATCATTTACAGTATATTACAATTATGAAACAACATCACTGTGACATGTCATGTGACAGGAAATGTTCTCTAAAAAAAAACCCCTGTGCAATGGGCTGAAATGTATTCCCCCCAAAATTCACATGTTGAAGCCCTGACCCCCAGGACCGCAGCATGTGACTGTATTTAAAGATAGTATTTAATGAGGTAGTGAAGGCTAAATGAGGTCAATAAAGATGGGGCCCTGATCCAATCTGACCGGTGTCCTTATAAAAAGAGGAAGAGACACCAGGACTGTGCACCCACAGAGGACATGGCGAGGAGGCAGCCGCCTGCAAGCCACGGAGAGAGGCCTCAGGAGAGACCAGCTCTGCCATCACCTTCATCCTGGACTTCCAGCTTCCAGAACTGTGAGAAATAAACCTTTGCTGTGTGAACCACCCAGGCTATGGTACTTTGTTATGGCAGCCTGAGCAAACTAATGCGCCGCGTCTTTACTATCTATATTTTGTATTTTCCTTTCCAGTCTTTTGTCTGCGTACGTTTGTTCACGTTTATGTTTACAGTTACAGACACAATGTTCATGCCACTTCGATCTCCGACTCTCAAACTGAGCTCCGCTGCAGAATGGGTGTTGGTGGGGGTGTTGGCCGAGGTGCAGTCGTGTCTCCACGGGGTGCTGTGCAGATCTGTCCCTCAGCTGCAGCGTCACCTTACCAACCTCACCACACGGGCAGGGAAAAGCCAGGATGGGTGTGAAATAGAGCACTACTGCATGCATTTATAATAAGATGAGATAACGGTTGTCTCTGTCCCTTGGTTGCTGACTTGCAAGGGAAAGGTACCACTGGCATTTATTTGTTCATTTGTTTTTCCTCATCATATCGTTTAACCAAAGGACTAGCAGAGTGCCTGGCAGTCACATTTATGAAGTGAAGGGGCAGCCCATTGTCTTCCTGAATGCAAGTTTGCTGGAGAATCAAATTGTAAACAGAAGTTAGCATAGTGAGCTTGAAATTGGCAAGGCTGGCATCATCAAGCTGTTACATGTGATAAGAACTTTGTTTTCTAACAGTTTGCCAATAATAAAAAAAATAATGAACACACTAATACATCTGAAGGTAATTTGAGTGATCAATTTGGGTTCAGTTATTGTTTTTCAAAATTTTAACCAAGTTGTAATATTATTCATTTAATATTGTTCTGTAATTTTGTAAAATTGTTCATATTATATAGTTGGGTCTATTTCTGGGCTCCTTACAGTGTTTCATTTTCTAAATTCATTTTTATGCTTTTTTTTTATTGAGAAGGGGTCTTGCTCTGTCACCTGGGTTAGAGTGCAGTGATGACATCATAGCTCACAGCAACCTCAAACTCCTGGGCTCAAGGGATCCTTCTGCCTCAGCCTCCTGAGTAGCTGAGACTACAGGCATGGGCCACCATGCCCGGCTAATTTTTCTTTTTCTTTTCTTTTTTTTTTTTTGGTGGGGTCTCTCCCTTGCTCAGGCTGGTCTTGTACTCTTCCTGCCTTGGCCTCCCAGATGGTTAGGATTACAGGCATGAACCACTGTGCCTGACCTCATTTTTATACTTTCTATCATTCTGTTTTAATTAATATTGTTTTGTAGTATATTCTAACATCCAGGTAGGCCATGTTGATTTTCTGTATTGAGTTCCTATTTCACAATATATTTCCTCATTGTCTATTTGTTTTTACAAAATAATTTTGGAATTATTTGGTTATGGTATTTAAAAATCTTATTGAATATTTGCATTGAAATCTGTCAACAAAATATCCAAATCATGTTTTTTCAGCCAGGCTAAAATAAAATGAATATCTAAACTTGACCCCTTGCATGAGCAATAGAGATGGAAGGAATAGGAAGAACAAGCTTTACAGGAAACCAAGAAGATGGCAAGCAAATAGCACACACATAAAAATCCAATTACTTTGCATTCCAAGTAAGCTGGACAATTCAACCCTATCACAGATTTTTACTGTCCTCAGTTTTGAGTACAAAGGACAGAATCAGGATAAAGGATGAAGTAGATGATTGCTTAGTGCTACCATGATACCTTGATCTTATCAGTTTTTGTTTGTACACCTTGAATCAGTCTTAGGAGGAATGCAGCATTGCCTAGCGTTTAAAAATGCAGACTCGAAAGCCCAGCTGCCTGGGTAAGAGTCAGCACCTCTACTCACTTGCTGGACCTCAGTTTGCTCAAAATAAGGTAATAAATAATGTCTATATCATAGAGCTGTTGGGAGAATGGATATATGTAAAGGACTTCAGTAGTACCTGGCCAACAAGTATTAGTTATGTTAAGGAGAGTTTGTGTTATTGAGGCACTTTTTGGTTTTGGAGAGGTCAACTAACCTGTATTTCTTTGCTTCCCCAGACCTGAAAGTCTGCCCTGTAGAGGTTTGCATGGGCACCACCGCCCAGTAAGGCCGCGCTCCCTGCCAGGCCAGCGCTGCCGTCAGGGAGACGCTTCTGAGCTTTTGCACCTGGCTTCTCAGCCAGCCCCCGGCCTTCTGGCAAAAATAGCTGGATTCCATTAAAATTCAATCTCTCTTGATACCGTCTCTGCTGGATATGAGAGGGACAGCTACCGATGGAGCTTTAGCAACCTGATTAAGAATAGATCTGGGCTGGAATGTTCTAAGTGCTCTAAAATTACTGTTTATAAAGTTTCTCTCCGTGTCTCCCCGCATCCTGTCCCTCCCGGCGCATCTCACCCGCATGGGAGCTCAGCCAAGCCCCCACGCCGTCTCCAGGTGGACACTGAGATGAGTCTGTCTTCACGTTGCAGGTGCACGCTCTCTCCTGTTGTCCCGAGTCCCCGCTCCCAGGCCCTCTGCATGAGTGACGCTCCGGTCTGCCATGGGACCTGGCCCTGCTCTGGCCTGGCTCCTGCTCCTGAGCCTGCTGTCTGACTGCCTGAGAGCCGCCCAGTCCCGAGACTTCACCGTGAAGGACATTATCTACCTCCACCCTTCAAGTAAGACTGCTCTCTTTGCTGCAGAAATGCCACTTGATTTCAAATAAGAAGTGGGTCAAAAAATGGCCAGGAGAAGGCAGCCTTTAATGCAGGGGAAACCTCTGGTGATTTAATTGGAGGATGAAGTAATTAACAAAAGATGCTTTATGCATTAACCTCATGTGCTCACAGCAAGTTTTTTTTGTTTGTTTTTTTTAAAGGCAAATTGTTGGGCTTGTTTTCTGTGTTCCCTCCACAATCCCTCTGATCCTGAATACTCTTCCCTTGTACTCATGCCAGCCCTCAGTCAGTTATCAAAGTTTACTGTCCCGGGAGGAGGATTGTTTGTAAAAGATCAATCTTCTATAGGTAAGATAATAGCTGGTCTTCCTCTCTGAGCATCTAATTCTCAGTTTCAGCATAATTGCCTCCCACAACTTCCTATACCCTGTGCCTTTTGGTTTCCTGTGTTTAAGAATTATCTAGGGAGCTTGTATTAATGGAGATGCCCAGATCCTTGCCCTGGACTTTCTCCTCTGCAAATAACTTAGGCTAAACCTGTGGCTTTTTGCTTTCAGTTAGGAATTCCAGGCACCCCTGCTGCAGATATTCTATGGATCACACTTTGGGAAGCACAGAAGTTTGACCTCCTCTTTTGGTCTCCATCTCTGTATTTATCTTGTCTCTTTTGTTTTTGTATGAATCCTCTCTGTATTGCCCCTGATGCAATGAGAGCTGAATATATTGTGTATGTTCTGACCTTCAGCTTTTGCCCCAGGCTACATTACTCTTTTGAAATGTTCTGCTTAGCAAAGATTGCTTGAGTGGCCGGTGTGTGTCAAGGTTTGTGGTGGACGTGAAAGGTATAAAGGCAAGTAAAACATAGTCCTTGCTTCTGAGGCTCTTCTAGGGCTGTTCCAGTCTACAAAGTGGAGGCAGCCAGTCAGACTCCTGCTCTCTCAAGTGGTTAGAATGTTTAATGTCTGCATGGTTTGGCTGAGAGGTCATATGCAGAGGGCCCAGGGGCTTGGAATCCACCTGACCTTGGGTGGACAAGCTCAGTTGCTTTGTAGCTTTTCGATTGAAATAAATTCCCTAACTTTGTGAAGATTAAGTAAAATAATGCAGGTGAAGCACTCAGCACTGAGTGTGAGATGTAGTAAATGCTCAAGGAATGTCAAGGGAATTTTTTAAAGTGTTAATTTTCTCCTTTCTGAAGTGGCAAAAGAATACATACTCTGTAGCATTATTTTATGGACCCAGAAATAATATCTGTATTATTACAGATATCTGTATTACACCAGGCCCATTCCATACCAGGATATTGAATAGTTGTTTATATTGTTATCATTAGCTCAGACAGTAAACTGGGGGTGCTGAAAATACACCTCCCTAGTTTTCTCTTATCCAAATATACTTTTGATAGGCAGTAAATAATTTCTTCAAATTTGTTGTCACTATACCTTCTCACTAGTATAGTCTTGGTGCCCACTGGTTAATTGTATGGAAACCTTATCTGGCTGCCTGTGTTTATAGGACTTTTAAATTTTTTAAATAATATGCACGAAAAGAAGATGTTTTATTACTTGTTCTATTTTTCTAGATTGCATTTCATTCTATTCTCCAAACAGACACACTTCTATATTAGACTTGGAGAAGCGAAAATCTAGATTTCAGTCCCTTAGGGTGGATTGCCAGGGTTTCCAATTTCTTTGGTGTTCTTTGTCAGCTTCAGTGACAGACTCAGTAGTAACTGGACCGCAAAACGGACCCACACCTGAACTTCTCTGAGGCTGTGATTATACACATGAGGTGGGAAGGAAAATTAAGGTGGTTGGATTTAAGCAAACAAGATCAAAACAAGCACACACACGACTTGTGCCTCAGTGTCGTGGTGAGTCAGTACCAGAGGTGGTGGGTTCCTCTTTGGAAAGTCAATTTCAGAATGAGGTCTTGAAGGATGAGCCCTGCCAGCCAGAGGAGAATTACTTCTGCTCTTTAGAAGTTGATGGAAAATACTCATGTGACCACTGTTAATTAAATAGAGCGATGGCCTGATGAGAAGGAACTCTCAGCAGATGTAAAGAATTGGTGGGGTTTTCTGGCATGATTTTGAAGTATGGAGAAGGATAGATAATAAGTAGACGGTTCATCACAGATCAGGGCCCAAGCTGTCATTAGTGTCTCCAGAACTGATCATAAGGAATGCTGTATTCTTAGATTGACATTACCTTGAGTAGCTCCTACCTGGGCAGACCTTTGTTTATTCTGCCCATTTTAAATCACTGTTACCTTCCCATTTCTCTGAACTATTTCAGTAGTCTGTGGTGTGTGTTTTCACACTTTGATTTTTTAAATGGCATGGTTCTCTGTCCTTGAGCACTAGACCACGTTTAGGTGGCGTGATCTCCACAAAATAAGCAGGTTTCTGTTTAACACAGACCATAAAGAATATATGAGGGTAGTGTGGGATTAGTTTGATTCTGAATTATTTATATAATCACTTCAATTTGGAGATGGAGGCAAAAAACAGCTTTCTTTGGGTCAGGGAGTGAGCCAGATTTCATTAATGTTATGTATAGAAGCTAGGAACCTGCACAAGGAGAAATATGGTGGTGATGGAGGTGTGAGAAGACACACAGTTGTCTGTACCAGCCAAATATAAACTCATTTCTCATGGGCCCAGAACAGCCCTTGTTGATAATAACTTGAGCGAGATTGGAACTGGGGTTGGGAAAATTCAGCATCCCATGACTAATCTCCTTTTGCTCTCTGGTTTCCTAATCTTTGAAGTTTCTGAACCTTTAAAAGAAATACACTTTATGGCTTTCAAACTTAAGGCACTGTCCTCAATAATATTCTTTTCTATAATCTGTATGCAAGTTTATTTTTTATTTTTTTTGCTTTTTTCATGTGAAAAATGATGAATTTCTTACCAGCTTATGATTAAAATACTGAAGTCTAATAAAAATCTTTAAAACAAGAGTACTGTTAAGAGAAGTGGTACTTCTTATTTGGTAATCAGACATCACTCGAGATAGCAAAGTTTAATATACTAAGTGTCTGCAACCTGTTCATGGCCTCCTTTCCTTTCCTTAGAAAAGAAACGTTTCCTAAGAATATTCATTTTTCCTCTGGTTGCATGTTTTCAGTTTTGCTGTAATCATGTGCACCAAATAACTGTATTCCTGCAGAGGATTGTTTGTGCCCATGTATAAAGTCAGTAAATTTGTCACAATCCTGTATCATGTGAGTCTTACAGGGTAAGGGGACTCTCTGGAAAGGTACCAGGAAATGCATTTTGATTGGAAATATATTCATATTAAAATTATACTGACAATATTTTGTTGCCAGGTAGAATGAGAAGGAAGGTAAATTTATTAGATGTCTAGAATTTTTGTATTTGAATCCAGTTTCTAAAAACAATGGAAATCGATTTGATAAGAATGGAAAAAAGTTTGGATGCATTACACATCAGCATACCTTTCAAAAACAAGTCTGTTCTCACCACGTTTTTGGTGACTGAAGGCCTTTGTCCAGGCAAAAGTTCCAAGAGATGGAAACAAAGACTAAATCTTTTCTGATGCCTTACAAATGAATTATGGTCGGTTGAACTACCGCTGACCATGAGAGTTAATGGACAGATTATTTTACAGGAAGTAACTGGGCACTTTGGTGTTTCTTTTTTTCTTTACAATCACCTTCTCATAAGGGACCAAGGACTTATGCCCTGAAATACAGAGCACTAAGCTTATTAACTCTGTGATCAAGAGCCAAATTAGATTCATTCACAGCTGGGGCCACAACAATTTGAAACTCTGCTTGCTCTATAATGCTTTGAAGTAACAAAGAAGAAAGTGGCACATCTCTTAAAAACCTCCTTCCGTTCTTTTTTTAAAAAAAACCTCTTTATCAGATGCAGTATCAATTAGCGAGTTACTGAGGATAGTTGTTCGTCTGTAGACCTTATTTTTGGCAAAATATTTCCAGAAGGAAGAATTTAACCATTTACTTAGTATTGTATTGTAATTAGCCACTTAAAGCTGAGTATATTTGCAGAGATTTGTCACTAAACAGGGTGTGATAATTCACTGATCATTTCTACCTGCCTAGAGCCAATAAGACTTCCTTTAAGCAGATATTAAACTTGTGCACAAATAGAGTGTAGATTTAAAAATCATACTCACCAAAAATGAGATAATCTGGTTAATTGCCAATGGTATGTGCTGATAAACTCAAGCAGAGATAAATGATTTGAAGCAAAGCTTCATTTTGTTGTCTTGATATTTTAGTTCATGTTCCTGTATAAATTTCAGTATACATTGGGTTGATTTCTGAGTCCAGGCCTACTTATGTAAGAAATGATAATGTTTAATTTAACATGTCACTAGTCTTGCAAATGACCATTTTGAAAAGTCTATTAAATAATCTAAATTGGAGAACACTACACCTTATTAGTGTTAGCATCTCAATAAGTTTGTTCTTGGAGCAGTTGAATTGTCAATCTTCATTCTTAATTAACTTCTTAATTTGTCTCTTTGATGGGAAAGTTTGCAGGAATAACTAATTCAATATTCCAGCCAAAATTTTTACTGGCTACAGTGACAGATGATAAAATTGGATGCCCTAGTGAATTAATCATGCAAACTGAAGTGGTACAGCTAGCTTGCAGTCATAAACCTTGGTGAATATGATGATCATTTTCTGAGAAATTGCTGTTCTTTGACAAATTCTTTATAACCTTTTTAAAAAAAACTTCTACTTTGATTATTCCACTTCAAATTTTACAAGCTATTTTAAAGTCCTATCTTTTAACGTTATTTATATATTAAGTATTTTAGACTTGATAGGGAAGCTATTTTTAATGTATCCAATCAGGACAATTTCCTGAAATATTTTGTATGTTTTCCTCATAATGGTATTTATAAAAATAAGCTAATTAAAATATCTGTAAGAATATTGAATGGCTTTGGAATTTGAGGACCGGTTTTGGTTTATTTTTATTTTTGTTTTTTTTTAAT